ACCCCAACCCCAACCCCAACCCCAACCCCAACCCCAACCCCAACCCCAACCCCAACCCCAACCCCAACCCCAACCCCAACCCCAACCCCAATACCCATTCCAAATATATTTATATATTTATAAATAAATAATTATATATATTTTTTATTTATTAAATTCAAAAATAATTTTATTATAAAATTTATTTTTATACTATTTATATATATTCAATTTTTTTGTTAACAAAAAATTTTATATATTTTAATATAATATAATATATATTATATTAAATTATTTTTTTCTATTTATATATATAATATATATTTAATAATAAACAAACATATTTTAAAATATTTATTTAATTATAAATGCACTTCTCTAAATATATGTATTTTTTTTTGAATACATATTATAAATATATTTATAAACCTTTAAAAATTCCTATACCAAATATATTTTTAAACATTTATATATCTCTTTTATAAATATATTAATTTACAATTAAAAATAAACAATGAAATATTTTTATTAATAATAATTTATTTATAAATAATGATTAAATGTAATTTTTACTAAATTTTTATAAAATTTTAATATATATTATATATATTTTAATTATTAAGTTTTAATATATAATTAAATTTAATTTTTTTAATTATTTTTTTTTAATTTGAAATTTATTAATACATTTCAAATGAAATATCAATAGATTATAAATTATTTAGAATATTTAAAATTAATTACACAATAAATTTTATATTTATTTATTAAAATAATTTTTTTTTTACTTAATATATATTTTTATAAAAAAATGTATCTATTCATTGTATGCAAATCAAAAATCATTATTATTGTTTTTAATTATTTTTATATTAAAATAATCATACAAAATATATATTTACAAAAATATTTTTAACATATACAATTTGTTAAAAACAAATTAAAAAATATTGAAGTTTTCCATTACATTGTTATTTGTTTAAAAAAAATTCAATTTTCACAATCTAAATCTGTAATATTTTATCTTTTTTAAAAATAAAATAAAGTATTTTATATAAAAAAAAATTATATATTAAATAGTAATTTATAATTAATATAAAACTAATCTTTCAAAACCATTTTTGAAAGATGATTCACAGTATGCCTTTTTTAGATATACTTGATAGTATATAATATAAATAAATAGGCAGATCTAAATATTATTTTTCCTAATTTTAATTTTCTAGGTATTAATTTTAAATATTTTTTTATTGTTAAGCACTACACAAAATAAAATGTGAAAAAAATCTAAGTTTCCTTTTTTTAAAATTGTGTTTTTAATATAAAAATTAGAGAAAAAAATAAATAAACCATATTAAAAAGTAAATAACTTTTACTTATATTTCATCATTTTCGACATTTTCCACACGTATAGCCTCCTTTTTATTCAATTAAATATTAGCCATATTTATTTTAGATTTATAAGAATATTATAGTTTGAACGAAAAACTCATGGCTGATTAAAAATCCCGATATTAAAATTTTATTTAAATACTTTTATTTTTATAAAAAAAAAACAATATTCATTTTTAATTATAATTTTTTTTTTTAAGTTAAAAAACCCTTTTATTTTTATGTAAAAAAAAAGAATTATTTTTATTATAAAGTAAAGTCTTTTTAACTATAATATATTAAAATATATAAAAAAAATACTCAAATTTTATTTTTAAATTATATAATCATAGCTTCTTCTTAATCTTCTTCATCATTGTCTACTTCCTCTCCTAAATAACCATTACAAAAATTTATAGCCATAATTTTCTGTTTTTATTAAACTTTAATATTTTTAAAATTATGATTCATTTTAATGTTACTTTCATCTAATCCTTCTAATTCTTCTTCAATTCTATCATCTTCTTTAATTTTTATTTTTCCTTCATTATTTCCTAATTTTTCACTCTTTTTTATATTTATTATCTCTCTCATTTTTTTTTCTAAGCAATAGTTTATAATTAAACATTTTTCAATTAAAAGTTCTATTATTCTTCTTCTGAAATATAATTATTACTCAAATGATATTTTGCCCATTATTTATTGAAATATTGAGCATCTTAATATTTTTTATTATAAACTAAAGTGGCCGTATGTGCTTAAATTCTTTATTAAACGATTTATAAATCCATTTATTCTTCTGCAACTTTTTTATTTTCTGTAATCTCTTATTACTTACTAATAATTCTCATAATAGTTTATCCATTTTAATTCTTATATTTGATTTAAGCCTAAAAAGGTACTTTTTTTCCTTCTCATTAATCTAAAGTTTTTCCTATTATAACTCCTCATCAGATTTACTCATATACTCGAAAGTTTAAACTGTTTTAAGAGTAACATTACCCATTTATTTTATACACACTGACCCATTTCTTTCTAAAATATCATTCTATTCATCCAAGTTTCTAAATTTCATTATATTCTTGATATAAATTTTCATAGAAGCCTTAAAAGCAACTACCTCATCCTCTAAAATATTTGCAAAATCCTTATGTATATTCTCAGGGTCTACTCTAGTCACATTTCCCCCTGTTTTATCCGCTAATTATCCCAAAATATCTAATTTACACCCTTCTCCTTTAATAGAAATAACGTTAATAACGGTATCATTTTCTACTGCAATCTATTTAATATTTTCATAAAAAACTTAAGAATGTTATTATTAATCAAAAGCCCCGACTCCTATATTAGCTAACCCATCAGTACATAAAATAATTAAGCTCCCCTTATTTTATTTAGAAAGTAAACCTAAAGCCGAAATTAGAGCAGGACCAAGCGCAGTTCTTCCAGTTTCTTTTAAATTCTAAAAAACATTAATTAGGTTTTCCTTGCAATCCTAAGCTTTCAAATTTAACATCTTCTCACTATTTTCCTTACAAATTTAATATATAATTTCTTCTTACTACAATTTATCTCCTGTAATAACTAAAGGAGGTATGTTTTTATCTCCACTTCCAAAAATAGTGACATCATCATTAAAAACAATTAAACCAATTTTCCTATTAGGAAACTGTTCAGAAATATCATCCAATTATTATTATATAGCGGCTACTACGCATTATTTTCTACTAATAAATTATTAAGATTAGTTATACATTTATATATATTGTTAAACATCTTCAGGATCCATAAATTATTTCAAAGCTTCGAATTCTTCATTACAAACCTTTGTATTGTGTTTATATTTTAAGGCTTCTTTATTTTCTATTTTACAAGTTACGGACATACTACCACTTATATCAATTACAAAAACGACTGATATGTCTTCGTTTTTTTAATCTTTATTTTATTCAAGAGGACCTTATAATAAATATATAGTTTCTTCTTGACAAGGGATTTCTTCTTGTTCAATTTTTATTAAATTTTGATGAGAACAAAATTCGCAAATCCATTTTTGGAGATTTTCTTAAATAGTTTTTTCGAGTTTAGAATATTTATTTAGGATGGATTAGCATTATTAGCAATATATAGGGTCTCCGAGAACTATATTTTTTTCAGATTCTTTGGTGTTCTCAAAGGTTATTTGAACAACATTGGTGTCTAGTTGATTTTCTTCTTCTTTTTAGATGTTGGATTTAAGAAAAGTATCTTATTTAGAAGATTTTTTGAAAAAGTATTTAGATGCAAATTACATTTTTTTTATCAAATTTAAATTTCTTAATATATTATATATATTATAAATTATTTATCAATTATATCTATTATTTAATAAAATTTATTATAATAGACTCATTTTTTAATTTTGTTTTCTGTTAAATTTTGATATAAAATTTTATACACATATAAATATTTAGTAATAAATAAAATAATGCGTCATATAAATAAAATTAGAATAATATGTTAAACTATGAAACTTTTATGACAAATAATTTAATTATCAAAGATTATATAAATATAAAATTTAATTTAATATATATATTTATTATTTTATCAATTATAGATAGATGATTATTTTATAAAATAAACTCAAACAATTAAAATTATTTAAAAATAGTTAATTTTTTTTAACTTATTGAACTATATTATTTTTAAATTATTAACTTTTATTTATACTTTTAATTAATAAATAAATGAATAAACTAAAATAGATATTAAAATTTACTAATAATATTCTTAATTACTTAAAATTTAAAAAGATATAAAATATTGTATTAATAAATCTTATTCTTTTTATTTATTAAAGAAAATATATTTATGTTTTATTCTATTTTACATAATTTTTAATTATAATTATTTAAAATTAATATGATATTCCTATTCATTCAATATCTATAAGAGAATTCAAATTACAATTCTCAGAAAAAAAAAATATTCACTTATTTTTAATAAATAATAATCTCTTTAAAGCTTTCAAAATTATCTAAAATATCTTAGTAAAATACAAAATTTATATTTTTTCTTTATCTTTATATAAAAAGTAAAATATATTATATATATATGATATATATTAATATAAAAGATAAATAAAATTATATAATTATTTAAATTGTAAAAAAAAAATCATATTAAAAAGTATAAAATATAAATTAAATATGTACCAAAAATAAAAATACTTAATAATTTTGCAATAAATTTATTTAGGCTAGAATTTTTTTGACATTAAATCTTAATAATAGCCTATAATCTTATTTATTATTAAATTAATTCATTTAAAATGATTTAATGAAAATATAATTATATATATATAAATTATCTGTACTTTATTATTTAATAAAATTATATATATATATTTATAAATGTATATATGTATATATGTATATATGTATATATGTATATATGTATATATGTATATATGTATATATGTATATATGTATATGTAAATATATATATATATATAAATATATATATGTATATATATATATATATATATTTATTAATTATATTTTTATATATATATATATATTTATTTTTGTATACATTTATAAAATTTAGAAAATAATATAAATCTTAAATATTTTTTTTATTAACATCATATTATTATTAATTATTTAGATTTTATTAATATATGAATTATTTAATTTAATCATGATTATTTATATTTTTCCTAATCAATAAAAATATTGAATACACATTTTTATATTTGATTTTTTTTTAAGCTTTAGTTTGTTATCATTCTTTCTATTAATCTAATATTAATTCTCTTATTATTAATCATAATTTGGTACATATTTTAAAAAATGAGATTTTCTAAACTAATATGTATATTTTTCAATCAGCGTTTAAATCTTAAAGCAAATATATTTATAAATTAATTACCTAATCCACTTATATAATTTAATTTCTTTTTTTAAAATATAATTTACAGATTTAATATATTAATACACCATAATAATAACTGTTCGATAAAAAGGCTAAATGTAATATCAATATTTATTTTTATTTTTATAATTATAAGCATTTTTGCTAGATTTTCTTAACAAAGTATTTTCTAAATCTTTTTTTTCTTAAATCCATATAAAATAAAAAATGGAAAACCGTAAAAATAAGATATAGATAAAATTAAAATAAATATGTATGACAAATAAAATATATTTTAAGTTTATCCCACCTGTTTTTACATTCGTGTCATCTAATTAAATTTTACTATTAATAATATTTCTAAGTATTATATATCAAATCTTACGAAAAAAATAATTTGAGATACAGTTATTATATGCCATAATAAAAATTTTTACATATTATATATTAATATTTTTCCCCAGTATTTTAATATTATGCTTTACTTAAATTTATTAATCTTTCAAATATTATTATAGAAATTTTTATTTTGCAAAGAAATTACTTAAATTATTTGGAAAATTTTTTTAAATAATTTTAAAATAAAAATAGATATACAATTAATAATATTTTCAAATTAAAAATATTTTTAGAGAGAATCAAAAAAACTATAATTTACATAAAAAAATATGAAAGTGTCCTCAAAATCATTTCATTAAAGAATTAAGATTAATAATTAAAAGTGTAAAAAACTTAAAAATTTTTAACTTTTTTTAAAAACTATAAAAAAAAATTTAAAATAATTTTTTATAGAAAAATAAAATAATTCCTTAAAAATCAATATTGTTATTTCAAAAATAAATTATTTATAATTACTTCTTTAAATAGTAGAAATACATTTTAAATTGATATTAAAAATTTATATATAACATAATATCTACAATTCCTTTTTCTTTCAAACAGAATTAAAATATTTAGTTAGTGTTTTTATATTTGACTTTTTTTTTAATATTATAGTTTTACTTTGAAAAAAAAACATTTGCTTGATTTTTCATTTTATTGATTGATTATTTATTTATTTAAGTTTATTAAATATTATTAATTTAAAATAATAAAATTAAAATCTTCAAATAAAATAAAATATTAGGTTGTTATTTTTAAGGATATTGGTCATATATTAATTTTGGTCCTTGAGGAAATACAAAATAGCTTATTTCATTTATATATTATTTTTTAATATATAATAATTTTAATTTTAATGTTATTTAATAAAAAATATATTTTTAATTAATATTTTATTTTAAATTTATCTTTTATTGGATTTATAATTAATATATAGCTTGTAAAAAAATTATTTCTTTTAAAAATATTTTTAAGAGTATTTTTCAAAAGTAAAAATTTTAATTGAATTATTTTTATAATATTAATTCAAAAATGTTCTCATTTATGTAAATACATTTTAATAGTAAAAAAAAATAATTGAAATATTAAATTTTTTATTAAATTCAAAAAATAATTATCTATTTACTGTTGATTATAAATAATATTTTTACATTTAAATTTATTTAATATTAAAAAAAAAACAACTAAATTAATATAATAAAAAAAGAAAATTTATTCAAAAAAATAATAATGAATAGTTTAAGTAATAATAGTAGTATAAATGAATTTGCAAATTGTTAAAGATCTAAGCAAACAAACAAACACAAAACAAATTTAAATGGAAAAAATGATTATAATTAAAACTATTTATTAGAAATATTTATTTATTGTTAAAATAAACTTGATAAAGTATTTTTTTTTAAAAATAAAAAAATAAAAAAAAGACTTCAATAGAAGATTTGTATAAAGTAATTCCTTTAGATGAATGTATAGAAGAAATAAGACAAATTGAATATTAATTTTTATGTCAGTACATAAAATAGATAATAAATTATTTAATAAAATCAAAGATTTAATTAGAAAAAAATAATTTAAAAAGTGTTAGTTCTTAAAATGAAAATAGTAATATGTAAAAATATGAGTAAATGCTCCAAAAAATGGAAGCTGAATGCAGGGAGCACATAAGTATTGAATAATAACTAAAATTATATGCAGAAAACATATAAGAAAATCTCGAATAAAAAGAAAGAGAATTAAAGATTTAATAATAAAAAAATTAAGAATTAATTGAATAAATAATGGTAAAAATTTAATTAAAAAGAATACAATTACACATTTTTTTAAAAAAAATATAGAAACAAAATAAATAAATAGAAAAAATATAAAGGCATGAATAAATATAATAAAAGCCTAATATAGTTTCAAAATGCAAAAGAAGTACAAGTATATAATCTGAAAAATTTGAATAAAATTGTATAAATAATAATAATAACATAAATAATCATAATAATAACACTTTAAAAGACGAAGAAGATTTATATAAAAAAATGTCAAGATTAAATACTGAGCCATATAATTAATTGAGCTATTCAAATACATAGAAATTTATTCCAAACGAAAATAAAAAAAAGAATTATTAAGTCATATTTAATAAAAAAATATTTTAAAATAAATTCAGAAATAAGCATTTATGAAAACTATATAAAACTAAGGAATTTAAAATAAGATTAAAAATAGGAGTAGTAATTCTTATTAGTATAAAAACTAAAATTAATATACAGTTGGTTAAAAGCATGCTTAAAAAAATAAAGTAAAAATAAAAATAAAAGATAATATTTTACAAACTTTTAATATTGGTGGAAAATAAAAAAAAATTAAAGATTCTCCTTTTAAAAATAAAACATTTAGAAGTTAAAGTGCAGATAATAATAATAAAAATTAAATTAATAAAAATAAAATTTGAGTTGAATAATTATTTATATTCGTAAAATTATTCTAATATATGTTTATTATTAAAACTAAATATTAATCACTTATTTTAAAAAAATTAATTATATAAATAAAATACGTATTAATTTTTTAATTAAATGTGTCTATATATAATATTAAATAGTTAATTAAATAAATAAAAATTATATTGAAATAAAATGTTAAACGAAAATATCAATAATCATCCAAAGTAAAAAAACAAATCTAAAAATCTAAAATTGAATTTATAAATAGTTAACTGTTATCAAATCTAACATCAGAAATAATAAAATAGTGCGAAAACCAAGAAAAATAAAATATGAAGTATTTATAATAATCAGATTCTGAAATATCAGAAGAATCATTGTCTTTATCATCAATAGAACCTAAAAATACTCAAGTAGAATAAAAAGTAGTTAAAAAATTAAATGAATTTGCTAATTTAAGCGATTAAAATTTAAAATTAAGACAAGAAAATGCAAGATTATTAAAAAATAAAATAGAAAATGATTAGAAAATAGAAAACCAGAATTAAACTTTTAATTAGATAATTCAAAAAAAATAGATATTTATAAATTAATTGATTTAATAAAATTCGGACCTTTTAAAAGCTAATAATTTATTAAAAAACCTATATGAAAAAGAAAGGGAGAAAAGTACTATTTATTTAGAATAAAAAATTTTTTTTTAGGAAAAAACAATTTCTTTGAATGAGAAAATTACATAAGAAGCTTAAAAAAATGAGAATTTTTAATTACAAATAGTTAATTTATAAAGCAAAATATAAAATTTGGAAGATAAAATAGATTTTTTAGAAAAAAATGAAGAAAATAATGAGCATCAAATCAATTTTATATAAGAAAAATAATAAAATATTTAAATATTTAAAGAAAAAATATAGGAATTAAATTAAGAAATATTTGTTAATGATTAAAAATTATAAGAAAGTGAAAATTTTTAAAATTTAATTATAAAAATGGTTTAAAAAATAAAAAATTATTCTTAAAAAATTAATGAAAAAGATGAAGAAATTAAAAATTTATAAAAAATTCGTGAATTTAAAGATGAAAAAGAATTCGAAATAAAAATTTTAAAAAATGAAATTGAAATTTTAACATAAAATAATGAAAATTTAAAAAATTTGATTTCCAAAAATGAATTAAAAATTTAAAAGAAAGTTAAAAAGTATAAAAAAATATAAAAAAAAACCTGCAAAAATAAAAATATGAAAAATTCCTTAAAAAAAATCAAAATAGAATTAAAAGAAAAAGAATAACTTTTAATTGAATAAGAATTAATTTAAAATTTATAAATTAAAAAAATACTCAATAATATTCCTAGTTTAGAAATTAAATAAGAAATGCAAAAATAACTTAATATTTTTTAAAATTAAACTTTTCTCCAAAAAGATAATATTTTAATTTTTTAATAAATATTTAATTGTAATATTAACTTTTAATAATAAAAAAATTTAATTTGTTTAGATTTAAATAATTTTAAAATTAAATTTTAGAAAAATTATGAAGATTAATTCGTTTGTATATAAAATAATTAACTTTTAGAAGATTTTAATAAGAAAATTTGTGAATTTTTTATCAATAATTTATAAAAAAGTATAGAATGCATTGAACAATGTAATGAACCTTTTTGGATTATATGTAAATCTTTAGTTTATTAATATATGTCTAATTATTTTAATAAAAATAATAAAATTAATGAGATCTGTTTAGTTTTATAAGAAGAGCAAAATAAATAGAATTTAAATAATTAATATATTTGAAAATAAATTTATTTAAAATTTAATATTTATTTATTTAAAAAGCATTAATTTTTTTCTTAATATATATATTATTTAAAACATTTTTTTATTTGTATTTTTTATGAAAAAAACTTTATTTATAACTGTTGGAACTACTTAATTTGATCAATTATTATAAATAATTGATAAAGATCCTTAAAATTATGAATTTTTTATTCAAAAAGGATTTACGAATATAATTATTTAAAAAGGAAGGTAAAAAATAAATATTTTTTTATTTTTATTATTAAAAAAAAAGAGGAAATTTTGAATTTAAAGAAATATATAATTACAAAAATTAATTAGAAATTGAAATATTTAATTTAAAAGATACATTAGATTTGTATTTTTAAAAAGCAGATTTTATTATTTCCCATTGTGGTATATTTTTTGTTTAAAAAAAATAATAAATTAAATTAAAAGGAGCAGGAACACTTTTTTAAGCTTTAAAATATAAAAAATAAATATGCGCAGTAATAAATTAATAACTAATGAATAACCATTAAGAAGAATTATTTTAAAAATTAAAAAATGAAAACTACATTTATGGAATTGAAAATTTAGAAATGTTTTATGAAGATGTATTTTTTTTTATTATTAATTTTAATATTATTTTTATTTTCTAATTAAAGATATAAAATATTTTAAACAACAAAACTTAATTAAATGAATATAAATAATAAAAAATATCTAAACTTAATTAAATTGTTGATTCTTTTTATAATTGATTCTAAAATAATTAAATATCTATAATATATAGTATTTTTTTTAACTATAAAATACTAATATCAAATAAAAATTATAGAAAAGATAATAATAATAGTTTTATAAAAAGTTGAAAAATTATTAAATGTCATAAAAATATGAAATAAACTTATTTTTATTAGAAATAAATAATTAAAATAAATTAACTAAATTTCAAAAAAATTATAATTTAAAGTTAATAACTAACTATATTTTGTATTTATAAAAATATAATATATTTAATTATTTTTTTCTAAAAACATAAAAAATATAAACTAAAGCTAAAACTAAAACTTAGAGTTTATAAATAAATAAAAAAAATGACAAAAAGAGTAGGTTAATATGAATTAGGTCGTATTTTAGGAGAGGGATCATTTGCTATGTTAAAATATAACAAAAATATTTTTTAATAATAATAAAAAAAGAGTACGGGAAGTAATACATAGTGTATCCAAAAATAAATTTGCAATGAAAATAATAGATAAAAGTCGAGTCTAAAGGGATGATTCAATCGAAAGTTTAAAGAAGGAAATATCCATTCTAATGATAATAAGCCACAAAAATATCGTAAAATTAATTGAAGTATTAGCTTCAAGAACTAAAATTTATTTAGTTCTTGAATTTATGAAAGGTGGAGAATTATGGGATATTATAAGTATGAAACTATTTATTTATTTTTTAAAAAAATAAAATTTTTATAGAGGATAAGGGAAAAATAAATGAAGATGAAATGAGAAATATTTTCAGATAAATATTATTAGCCATAGAATATTGTAAAAGTAAAAATATTGCACATAGAGATTTAAAACCTGAAAATATTTTAATTGATGAATTTGGAACTATTAAAGTTTCAGATTTTGGTTTATCTTCTTTATATGAAGATTCAACTTAAATATAAAATTTATTACATACTACGTGTGGAACTATTAATTATTTAGCACCTGAAGTTTTTATCTTATTTTTTATTTTTTATATTAAAAAATTAAGGTTATCTAAAATATGGGATATGATGGACATAGGGCTGATATATGGTCTTTAGGCATTATTTTATATTTTTGTGTTGCAGGAAGTAAAATATTTTAAAAATATTTTTTTTTAAATATAAATATTTTTCTAATTTATATTTCTTATGTATTGTTTTATATTTCTTCTTAATTTTTAATTAATTTTTTTTGTTTAATATTTAATTTAATTGTTTCTTTTTTATATATAAATAAAGGATTACCTTTTGAAGATGATAATGTATCAAAATTACTTGAAAAAATAGTTTCTTCAAATTATGATATGCCGAAATCATTTTCTAAAAATTTGTAAGGTTATATTTTTTATTTTATTTTATTTTATTTTAATAACAAAAAATATAAATATAAAATAAATATATTTCTTATTTTAGATATGATAAAATTAATATTGAATAATAATCCTAAAAAAAGAGTAACATTAGAATAGATAAAAAATCATTCGTGGTTTAGAGAGTAATAATTTTTATTTTTCAAAAAATAACAAAAAAATATTAGTAAAATGTCAAAAGAAGAAATTGAAATTTTTAAACAATAAGAAGATGAAATAAATAAAAATATGAATATTTAAAATAAATAAACTTTAGAAAATACCGAATTGGTTGATTGTGAAAGTGACTTAGATAATATTAATTAAGAAGATAAAAAATATAAAAAAAACCCTTCAGACATAATAGTAAATAAGTAAATTTATTTCTTAAATATAGTTTAATTTTTTTAAATAAAAATAGAATCACTGCATTCGAATTGATGACTTTTTTAACAGGAAGTTTTATAAATAGAATATTTGATGTTTAGTAAACAAAAAATGAAAAAAATTAAATTTAAAATTAATTAAAATAACTTCTATAATATACTAAATTTACAACTAAACATACAATTAATTATATAGATTAAACAGTATAATTTTATCAATATTTTATTTTTATTTTATTATAAAGGTTCTAAAAGCGTATTAATAACTTAATCCAACTGAAGTTTATCATATTTATCCAAATAGATAATATTATGTAAAATATTATTTCATCTTATATATTTATTTAAATAAAGATTAAATGCTGGTTTAAAATGAATAAAGAAGATTGTAGTATAAGTTGTAAAGCATTCTAAATAGTAGAAAATTAATAATATCTATTAATTTTTAAAAAAATTGGAGTATTTTAATTATTTAAAAATAAAAAAAAAAAAAATAAGGGGTCAGATAAATCATTCTTAAATGCATTTAAAATAATATTCGAATAAATAAAAAATTTAATAGAATGATTAAAAGGAATTTAATTTTTTTTTATTTTAAATATAAATATAAATATAAATATATATATATATATATATATATATATATACATTTTTATATATATATATATATTTATTTTTACATATAATTGATTTATAATAAATATCATTAAAACACTAAAATATATTTCGGATAACAAGCATTAGCTTTTTTGACACAAATTTCACTTAATTTAATATTATTTGTATATTCTGGGGATGCATAAACACTATCGTATATAAAATCATCAAATTATAAAAAAAAACTATCGGAATTTTACGGTTTAAATATTTTTCCTAAACAAATTTTACATGCTAATAAAATTTATTCATCTCCTTAACTATAATTTAACGCTTTTTGTATACTATCGCTAAAATATGTCCCTTTTCCATATCTAAGTTCAGTACAGACTCCTTTTCCTGAATATTTATTTGAAAAACCTATTTATATGATATTACAAAAAGAACAATCTATATAATTTTGACATTATTATGTGTATTTTGGACATATTTTTTTTGTGCCATGGAAACCGTAATATGTGTTTGCGATTCCACATGCACCTTATTATTTTATTTGTTTACTTTTTTCGGTCTGATAATTTTTAAATTAATTTTTTAAATATTAGTTTTAGATTTTGTATATTGCCGATATTTAATATTTATTTTTGATATTTTAAATATCATAGGATAGCTTTTTTAATATTTTTTGGTAGTCTTTTTTTTTATTTCTATTATTTTAGATGGGTATCTTTTTAGTTACTTTAAAATAGTATTTTTTTTTTGAATATCTTTTTATGTTTTTATTAATAAAAATAAAGATAAATTGATATGATAATGCATGTAAGGTAAAATATTATGTTTAATTTGTTTAGCTTACTAGTTTAATAAAATTAATTTAAATTATATAATGAATAAGTTAGAATTATAGCTGAATATATTTTATAAATATACATTTTTTAATTATTATTTTAGAATATTTTTTATAATTAAAATAAAAAACTAATTAAAAAAAAAATATATAAAAATTAGAATTTATTTACTTTTAAAAACTGTGCTTTTCGAATAGCTAAATTAATATTATATAATTTAATATAATATAATAAATCAATTAAATAATATGATTTTATATATAAATATAATCTAACTAACATTTTTATATATATATATATTATTTTTTTCATTATGATTTGTATTATTTTTATCTTATTTGTAACTTTTCTTAAATTTTATCATTAATATTTTTTTAAATTTACTAAACTTTTTCTTTAAAATTGGAAATATTATCAACATTTAGATTTTAAATTGTTTTGTTAATTTTATAATTTTTCCTTTAAATATCAAACTATTAATTAATATGTACAGCATGTAATTCTATGTAAAATTCATTTTTAAAATTTTTCTCATTTTTATCTTTATGTGCCTTATCAATCATATATTTATCAATAACAATAACTCCTTTTGAATCAAAAAAAGCACAATTTATCCAAATTTAGGAAATTAATTGTCTATTAAATACTAAAAGTTGTATTATAAATATTATTATTACTATTTTTTTAGAATGTTAACATTATAAAACTAAATTTATACATCTCCTTTTATACGAATTTCATCCGTAAAATACTCTATTAAAGCTTCATTTTTATAATTTTTTACTTAGAAATGCTCCTATATATAAATAAATATGCAAATATAAGTTTAAATAAATAAACCCTCGAATCATAAAAATTGTTTTTATTTTTAATAATAAAAAAAAGTTCTAATTTTTTTAATTTAATTTAATTTTTTTCTTAACAAAAAATATATACTGCATCCTCCGAACAAATTAAAATTAGGAACTGTAATTAATTTAATAACTTTCAATTTTAATTCTATTTCAGGAAAATTCTCTAGATTCCATTAATTATTTAAAGCAATTTAAAAATATGTAATATATCTAATTTAACTAGGAATAGTAACTCCCTTTAATTTTTTAAAAAATAAAAAAATATTTATCAAAAAAACCTTTTTATTTTTAGTTCTCATAATTCCATAATATCTAATTGCATCATAAGCTTTTTCAAACTACCCACTAAATAATAAATAGCAACAAATCATAACACCAGTTCTTCCTTTTCCAGCTTTACAATGCACAGCAACTACATTATAAGGGTGTTAATTTAACCATTGATTTATTGATTCGCAAAATTTGTAAATTAATTATAATGTGGGAGGTTAATGATCATCAAATGGGTATTCTTCAAACATTCCATCAAAACAATTTTTTTAATATTTTCTTTCACTACATAAATTATATACTTTATAATGATTTTTGTGCCTTTCATTTAAAAAACTATTAAAAAAATAAATATAAATTATTATTTTTAATAAAAACTTATAAACTTCTTTCATAGAATTTCTAAATATTTTTTCGTAATTTTATGATGGATAACCCATGGCGATTATATTCTCTGTAATATCTTATATGTTTATTTTATAATAATAAATAATAATATTACAGGCTAAGTCTAATGAATATCCATCATTATCAAATCTTTTTTTTTATTTAGAAACCTTTTTTAAAAAAATTTAAATTTAAAAATAAAAAAAAAATTATTTACCAAAGTTTTAAATAAATTCTTAAAATAAACCTTTTATTTAATTGTTGCCTTTATAGTACTATCTACCATTCTTGCGCTATTTTATATATCTTAACTTTTTTTTCTATTTAAAATTAAATCTTTATTATATACACTATCAAGACTAATATTTTTAATAAAATTGCTATTATAATAAAAATCTAATTCATCTTCTTCAATTTTATATTAAAAATTAATACTATTTTTTAAAATAATCATATAAAAAATATAAATAAATTTTAGTAAACTTATTTTAAGAATTATATTTTAAATTATTTTCTTAATGAATTGGTAAATCCATATTTTATACCTAAATTATAAAATATTATATTTTTTAAAATAAATAATAAATAATAATCACAAATTAATGATATATATAGATTTTTATATAATATTTAAATAAATATAAATTGCATTTTAAATGTGATTATATTTAATATCTAAATAAAAAAGTTTTGAAACTTTAATTAAACATTATTAATATCCAAAATAATTTTAATTATTCAAAATTAAATAAATTTTTTTTTTATTATTATAACAAAATATATAAAAATAAAAAACAATATTAAATAACGTTAGATTAAGAAAAAGCTAATTATAAATATTATTTTAAATGAAACTAATTTAATTCATATGATTTCCTAACAATTAAAAAGTTAATACATTTAATTTTTAATTTATAAATTAACTAATTATTAATCATAAATAAATTTTTTATTTTTAATTATATTTTAATCAAAAATTTATTATTACTACAATTATTATTAAAAAAGCTATTATTATTATTATTATTATTATTATTATTATTATTATTATTATTATATTATTATTATTTTTTTGTATTATAAAAATTCATAATAATTTATCTTATATATTTATTTTTTATTAAAACATATTTAATTTTTATTAATTTTAATCATAATTATGTATAGTTTATATAGTACTCATCTTTTCATAATTATTATTTATATTTATTTTTCTTTATTAAATATTTTATTGACTTTAATATTATATCATACTTGATTGTTATTTCAAATTTACTTAATTTTTATTATTTTTACTTTAATTAATTTCTATTTTTTCATTTTCATTTTTATCTATATTAATCAATTTTAAACTACATTGATGTTATTTATCTTCTTTAATTTAATTTTAAAAAATTTCCTTATTAAATTTATTCTCCAATTCTTAACAATTTTGTATTTCTTTTTCTGTTTAAACTGAAAAAAAGAATATTTTAATATATATTTTTATTAAAAAAATTCAAACTTTCTTTTAAAGAAACTTAATTTTTTTGAATATTATTTTCTTATATTTGTTTTTTCTTTTCATTATAAAATATAATTTTATATATTTCTCTAATTTATTCTACATCTTCAATTATCTCAAATTAATTAGGAATATATTATTTATCATAAACAATATTAATTAATTAAGAATTAAATAAACCTAATAATTATTAAATCTTTTTAATTTTTTTTTTAAAAAAACGCCTTTTTATAAACTTACTTTTTTATGAATCAAATTATCTTTATCTTAATTAGATTCTATTAGTAAAGTAATTGGTACATATTAATTAATTTTATAAATAGTTTATTTAAAGTTTTTTATCCTCCAACTTAATATTTTTAATAATTAGAAAAGAACTTTAGGGTTTCAATCACTATATTTTATATAGTATGGTTTTACTAAAATATTTGATTATTAAAATAAATCTTAACGCAATTCGAAAATTTTACTGATAAGAAAAATGGATGTTTTAACTACAAATATATTTTTATTTTTTTGAAATAAAATAATTACTTTATTTCTAATATTAGGAGCCGTAAAATAATTTATTAATCCATAAATATTATTCGAAATATCTTCTTTTTCCTTATTTTTTTTCTTAAATAATTACTTTTCATATATTTCAGGATTAAATAATTCATAAAAACTACTATTTTTTACAATAAATTTTGAACACTGATTTTTTCTTGCAGATTTTCTAGAATCGACAAATATAGGAGGTGAAATTTATGATTAATAAATATTAAAGAGAGAACATTATTAAGATTCCTTATTAATATAGACAACAATAACTATGTGGAAAAATTATCTCTTTTTTATATTTTTTTTAAAAAATACTTATTTTTATATACATCATTATTATATGAAGTTGTTGTAAATTTTAATCCACTAAAAGTAGCTTTTCCATTTTCTAAAATTTTCTTTGTATTCCCTTTAACTCCAATATCAATAAATTTCAAATCATTTATTTCTCTATTAATATTTTTTACAACAAATAATTTTGCAAAAAATTTTATTTATTTAAATAATTATTAATTTATTAATTAATCATAATTCTTTTTTTAAACATATTTTTTTAATAAAATAAAAACAGATATTTTTACAATAATTTTAACACTAATGTTTGGTAAAATCCAACTTTTATGCCAGTTCCAACCAACTTCTTTATCAAAAATAAAATTTTTCTCCATTTAAATACTAATTTATTAATCAACCTTAAAATTAAAAAATAAATAATTAAAAAGCATTTAAGTATATTTAATTTAATATACATTTAAAAGTAAACTAGGCTTTAAACTTTACATTATATTTTAATAATCTATAATTTATTAAATAAATATATTATTACAATTAGTCCATTACCATAGGCCATCACTAATATTAGCTATGGTAATTTAAGACCCATTATTTAAATTACTATTAATTTGAGTCATATCCATACTCCTTTTATTTTAATTTAAATAATGATCATTACTAAAATTATTTAAATCAGAATTAATTTTAGGTTGTATTTAATTTAATAAAAATGAATTCTATCTAAATTGATTCTAACAAATATTTTACTATTATTATTAAATATTTTTGATAATTACAATATTTTAAGTTTGAATAGTTGACTATTATAAAGGCAATATTACTGGGTTTATATCCTTAACAAAATCTGTTTTTGGAATAAAGTTTTTATTTTATTTATAAGGTTTCATAATAAATAAAATATTTTAATATTATATTTTATTAATATTAATATCTTTTTTAAATATATATTTATATATTTATATTAATTATTTTATTTTTATTTTTTTATTATTTAATATCTTATTGAATAACTTGATTATATATATTTAATCTAAATATATTGAAATTTTAATTAATATAAGGTCATTATTCTAAAATATTTTACGTTTATTTTTAAATTAGAACTTAACAAATATTTTAAATTTAATATAAAATATAAAATATTTATTCTAATTGATTTAAAATTAAAAAGAAACTTTAAAAAAAAAATACAAAAAAGAAAAAGTAAAAAAGAAAAAAAGAAAAAAAAATATTATTATAATATAACAAAAATTAATAATAAATTAAATTAATAAAATATTAAATATATTTTAATATAAAATAAAATATAATGTTTAATAAATTTATCTTTATATTTTATTACATTTTGATATAAATAAAAGTGTTTTTTTTATAAAAAAATTGTATCATAGTTTCATCATATATTTATTTTATATTATTGTTAATTGAGATCATATATAATAACTAATACTTAAATTATTATATTGAAAAGGCATAATAAATATAAATTATGATTATTATTAATAATAATATTTTATTTTTAAAAAATTTATGATTAAAAAATTATTAGCAATAAAATTAGTATTAATCAATAATTTTTATTTTTGTATTTTTTAATATATTTATTTAAATTTAATCAAATTAATTTTCTCTTAATATAATAAAAAATTTTATAAAAATATTAAATATATAATTTATTAAAATATAATAAAAAATAAATAATTTATAAAATATAAATCAAATATATTATTATTTA